TGATGGGGTAACATAGACCGGCTTGGAAGTTAATATAAAATTACCATATATAACATATTTTATGTTTGACAGCCTATTTATGTTTTTTCTTTATGTTTCAGACTGTACAGAGTCTTTTATATATGGTAATTTTAACTTAATTTCCAAGCCAGTCAATGTTACCCCTGTCTCTTATACACATCTAGATGTGTATAAGAGACAGGTTCTACCTAATCTTTATTAGTCAATACACAAAATTGTTTGCAATATTAAAAAAAATATACTGTCATTGGTATCAAAATTACTATTAAATAAATATTTTACAATTTATCATAAATATTAAACTATTTGCAATGCATTATAAGGAGGCTACAATCAGCGTTTCATTAACTGGCCTTTGATATAGCTAAGGAGAAAAATTCATTTAATTAACAGATAGGATTTAGAAGTATTGACAAATTGATTGTCAATTGCTCTGGAATAAGAATATTGATGGCGACTTGGTGTTTACCTTTGAAGGAAGTAGCAACTTAGCAAGTACTGAAAACCAGCAGATGACAAGATGCCAGCAGTAAAACTGATAGTCTTCCTCCAGAGCGCCACACAGACTCCAAGCCCAGACTCCAACTCCTGCTTGTGCTCTGCCAGTAGTACATCCACCATTAATGACACAAAATTGACTGAGCCTTTTGACTGATTGACAATTTGACATATCACATATCAATCATCAATTCATTATATGTATAAAATCAGGTAAATTGTAATTAATAATATTGTCTAGTACTAGTAGTACTAGGCTAGTAGGCTAGTAACTAGGCTATTAGATACCATTCACCATTGACCATTCCAATATTCATTTCTAATCATCTGATCTAATGAAATATTATTATATGAATATTATTGCAAATTCAAATATAATAAAATTGCATTCATCTTTCATCCTATTCCTACTCGTAGTAGCTAGTCCTAGACTCCTAGTAGGCTAGCCGCTACCCCTGCCCCCTGCCGGCTGCTAGTAGCAGCTAGTATAATATATCATGAATTTGATTAGGTCTGCTGGTGCCATCTAGCCTCTAGGTCCATTGTAGGCCTACGCCTACTACCTGTACATGAGAAAATTTTTGAGGTCAAGAATTGATTAAATATTTAAATTAATTCTGAAGTTAATTACAAATTTTACTAACTAAATTGAAGTGAAGTGGCAATTAATTTTAGAAAATTTAATATCAAGACTCAAGACAGAAACAATTTTAGCCATTGTAAACCGGTCACTTGTATTCATCTCAATGAAACTTTGAACATGTATTCATCAGAACCTAACAGTGATGTTTAGCTTGTAAATATTTATTGCATATTTTGCATATTTTGTTCATTGCATTGCTTGCTTCACTGGAAGGTTACCGAAATTATCAACTTGATGTGTTGTTTAGAATATCAGAATATGTATGTATATACATAGCTTGGTAGAACATCAAATATTATCATGCTAGTATTTCTACATACAGGAGGTAATTCAATCATAAAATGGAATGAATTGTTCAGGAGACTAATTTCTCAATGTTTGCTGCTTGATTGGTGCTGGCAAGATTATTTCTACTACAATTAACCATGTTCTCTTTTTTCAGAATATGCGAATAGTTTTAAGGCTTCTTGACTGCATAGTTAGCCAGTTAGGTTTGAGCAATACTTTTAAGACTTATCTTGTTAGGGGAAAAAACTTAGCCTTCAGACAAGATGACGCTGCGGAGGCAAAGCTGGTCCAAGTCCCCTCGCCGCACTAGCCAAACCTTGAACCGACGAGCACTCGTACAGTCTCTAAAACAATTATCCAAAGTCCCACAAACTGCCACATCCCCATCAGGCAATGTTCTCTTTGGGGCAGCATCCAAGGCAAACCTGAAGGTGGTGGTGAGGGTGCGGCCACTCAATGCTAGGGAGCAGGCAAATAATGCCAAGTAAGTTGTCCTTCTTACTGTCCTTTGCCTGACTTGCTTTTGTGGGACAATTGTCTTTCTATGATATCACTTACTTAATCATACTCTTGAATGGAATAAGTTTAATTAATTTCCTTAAACTAATATACCATCAAGTGGAGTGATTTTGGCCATACAACAGAAACAAATGGCAGCAAAACAAAATAATAAACATTGGCCAAAGTCACCCCAGTGCCCAAAGTCTCCCCAGTCACTTTGGCCAACATTTATTATTTTGTTTTGCTGCCATTTGTTTCTGGTGTAGTGGTGGACAAAGTCACCACCGCAGTCACCACCACCACAGTCACTAGTATCTTTAAAGAAAACATTTCACAGAGTCCAGCTCTGTTGTCAGTTTGAAAGTTCTAGAACACAGATAAATCAGTAATTAGTCCAGTCAAGATTATAAAAAAAAAACCTAGTGGGAAAAACTATCTATTTACAATTTCTAGCAGGTAAGAACTAAAAACTAAATTTTCCTACAGGACTCAATGTTAATTTTCCTACAGGACTGTGATTGAGCTGGTGGATGAACACATGCTTGTGTTTGATCCAAAGAAGGAGGAAGACATATTTTTTTATCATGGCGTAAAACAAAGGAGAGACATAACAAAGCGGCAACACAAAGACCAAAAGTTTGTGTTTGAAAGAGTCTTTGGTCCTGAGTCAAGCAATCAAGACATATTTGAGACAACCACCAAAGACCTTATTGACACTCTACTTGAGGGATACAACTGTTCGGGTTAGTAGAATGGCTAACACTTCTATAATTAAATTCTCATCTTGTTTTTTTCAATACAAATTTACTGTACAGATGGTTTCAAAAGTTCAATGTTTCCCTTGTCTCCTCATTAGATAAATCTTTGCCTACATTGAAGAAATCTTTGTCTACTCATTGAATAAATCTTTGTCTACATTGAATAAATCTTAGTCTACATTGGATAATCTTTGTCTACTCATCGAATAAATCTTTGTCTACATTGGAGAAATCTTATCTACTCATTGGATAAATCTTTGTCTACATTGGATAAATTTTTGTCTACTCATTGGATAAATCTTTGTCTACATTGGATAAATCTTTGTCTACTCATTGGATAGGAAGCTATTGTGACATTTCCTATTTATATGACCTAAATATTAGCCTAACCATAGTTTAAGCCTCCTTTGATTTGATCAAAACAATTCGTAACAAAATACTCACAACATTTAAAATGCACAGTTTTTGCGTACGGAGCGACGGGTGCAGGCAAGACATTTACAATGGTGGGGCGGCAGGACTGCCCGGGCATCACCCTGCTCACTCTCATGGAGCTCTATGCCCGCATTGACGCCATGGAGGCAGAGAACCCTGGCTCCAGTGTTGAAGTGGCNGTGTAGTGCCACTTGTTGCGTGTAGTGCCACTTGTTGCGTGTAGTGCCACTTGTTGCGTGTAGTGCCACTTGTTGCGTGTAGTGCCACTTGTTGCGTGTAGTGCCACTTGTTGCGTGTAGTGCCACTTGTTGCGTGTAGTGCCACTTGTTGCGTGTAGTGCCACTTGTTGCGTGTAGTGCCACTTGTTGCGTGTAGTGCCACTTGTTGCGTGTAGTGCCACTTGTTGCGTGTAGTGCCACTTGTTGCGTGTAGTGCCACTTGTTGCGTGTAGTGCCACTTGTTGCGTGTAGTGCCACTTGTTGCGTGTAGTGCCACTTGTTGCGTGTAGTGCCACTTGTTGCGTGTAGTGCCACTTGTTGCGTGTAGTGCCACTTGTTGCGTGTAGTGCCACTTGTTGCGTGTAGTGCCACTTGTTGCGTGTAGTGCCACTTGTTGCGTGTAGTGCCACTTGTTGCGTGTAGTGCCACTTGTTGCGTGTAGTGCCACTTGTTGCGTGTAGTGCCACTTGTTGCGTGTAGTGCCACTTGTTGCGTGTAGTGCCACTTGTTGCGTGTAGTGCCACTTGTTGCGTGTAGTGCCACTTGTTGCGTGTAGTGCCACTTGTTGCGTGTAGTGCCACTTGTTGCGTGTAGTGCCACTTGTTGCGTGTAGTGCCACTTGTTGCGTGTAGTGCCACTTGTTGCGTGTAGTGCCACTTGTTGCGTGTAGTGCCACTTGTTGCGTGTAGTGCCACTTGTTGCGTGTAGTGCCACTTGTTGCGTGTAGTGCCACTTGTTGCGTGTAGTGCCACTTGTTGCGTGTAGTGCCACTTGTTGCGTGTAGTGCCACTTGTTGCGTGTAGTGCCACTTGTTGCGTGTAGTGCCACTTGTTGCGTGTAGTGCCACTTGTTGCGTGTAGTGCCACTTGTTGCGTGTAGTGCCACTTGTTGCGTGTAGTGCCACTTGTTGCGTGTAGTGCCACTTGTTGCGTGTAGTGCCACTTGTTGCATGTAGTGTCAGTGCCACTTGTTGCGTGTAGTGCCACTTGTTGCGTGTAGTGCCACTGCTTGGAGCGGCTACATTGTATGCTACCGAGCATTAATTAGCCTCAGTTCGGTACTGCCATTGCTGGTGATGAGACGTGCTTTTAAGATCTCAGGCAATGACTATTAAGGATTTCTCTTATAGATTATCTCTTATATTATAGATTATCTTATCTTATCTTATTATATCTTATCTTATCTTATTATATCTTATCTTATCTTATCTTATCTTATTATATTAATCTTATATTATAGATTATCTCTTATAGATCTCTGGATTCTCTGGTAAGCATATTTTTGTTCTCTGTCTAAACCACCGATGAATAAAACCTATAACATCTTCTCTTTTTTTTTTAATGTTCAACCTATTACATCTCACAATTTAGTAATTATATCTGTTCCTATGTATGCATTTAATGACTAGGAGTAGCTCTGAATTCATTCATTATAAATTCATCAACGCGCTTACATTTGTTGGTATAGTTTCTTCAGTTAATGGTTGTATTCATGAATTCATGTATATAAATACAAAAATACATCATTGTCATTATTAAATTGTTCGTATGCTCACGCCTTCCATATATACGCTCGCGAACAAATGTATATAAAAAATTATTGTGATAAACTTTATATTAGTTCAGTCTATTTCAATATGCCATTTATTCTTGCATTCATTCTAGCCAACCGCTAATTAGTTTTAAATCTCATATTATCAAATCTTATTTATTAAGCCGTATAACTCGGTCTTTATTAAGTCTATTCGAAATCCGTTCTATTCTAGCAGTCGTCAATTAATCAACAGAGTCTTTCTAGTCTTGCATTAATTAATTTGAAAGGGAAATGGTATTTGTCTGCCAATTGTAAATTCAATCCGGAAAAATTGTTAGGGTCGTTCGCTTCGCATTTAAATTCCAAGAGCCGTTCAATTCTGGCGTTCGTAAAATCAATCACGAACGCCGTTCTAGCGCTGCCGAATTCAATCCCAAAATTCCTGAACGTTGTTCTATTCCGGCGATCGTACATTCATACTCGGACTTTTTGGTTCTACTTTTCTTAAATTCAATTATGTTGTCAATTGTACCGTCCTTGCTGCGTTCTATCCTTGCATTTGTACAGTCAAGTTCAAAAGCCGTTTTATTGTAGCTTTCTTGAATAATATTTCAAAACGTTTCATTTTGCCGTTCGTATGGTCGATGGAAAATAGCGTTTCATTTTAGCTATCGGATACTTCCTAGAAAAACCGTTTAAATGTGCCTTTATTAAATTATTTCAAAACTTGTTCTGTTTTGCGTTTGTGCGGTTAAGTAGAAAATCCGTTTTGTTGTGGTGTTCATGAGTCCATTTCAAAAGCCTTTTTGTCGTGTTCCAGTTCATCACGATGCATTAGACTACATCGTTCATTAGGTCGATTTCATAACTCATACCTACTATTTTACGTTCGCAAATATTCTATTTGAAAAAATTCTCATTATATAGTGACGTAAAATTGATCAAATTTTCAAGGGGCTTGAAAATGCTTGAACAGTTTCGCGTTGAAAAGAAAATTCTTCCAACTTTTATGGATTGAACTATATAGACCATATTTCAACTACTGAGGAATATTCATTTGATGTATTATACAAGTGTGTTAACAAATAAATAGCTGCTTTCAACAACGTTTTAACATTTTTTCTATTTTTGTAACGTATATAAAGCGTAATATGGCATGAAATGTATTTTCTGCATTAATTTCTCGTGAACGATCCAACGAACTGTCGCTCTGGAAACACCACAGCTTACCAAAGCACGAAGAACCTCTATAATGTATCAATTACAAATAAAAAGTCATTTATAAAAATATAAAATAAAAGCTGCCAAGTCATAAAAATTTCCATTGTTTAAGTCGTAATAACTACCGCAAATTCTCGCGTACATCTAATGGTCTTCATGGGCTGTGTGAGCCTCTCGGCATTAGATAAGTGTTAGGAGTTGTGTCTACTGACATTATTTAATATTATACCTTGTCGGATAATGTTATAGTGTGAACTGCGACCATGCGATACATCAGGATGATGCATTTGTGGCACGAGAGACGATGCGGAAGCTTGAGAATAATTCATTAGTGAAACGAGATTTGATGCAGAAACTTGTGGTCTGAGAGTCACGGTACTTTGTTGAACATTCTATTGGAGAATTCACTACTGAAATTAAGAATTAATTTAAATAAATCTTTTGGTTGTAGTTTTCGATTTTAAATCGCAACTTTTGCATCCCTGCAATGAAATGTGGCAGAAGAAACCTTTGGTTGTGGAGTTCGGTCTTCTTCTGATAGTGTAGGCACACAACAAATTATGGATTAAAGTTAGTATTGAATTCTCCGTGATAATTCTTTCATTGAGGGTTGATGAGTGTTGAGTAGCTTTATTTAATATTCATGATTAATAAGGAAGTGATCGTGCATTGACGCTTTTTTATTAGCTAACCAAATTTTGCAAATTGTTACTAGATCCTTGGACCAGCCTACGGAGAGCGTTAGTGAGCGATAATTTATGCAAGATTCCAAAATATATATTGAATACCGTTTCAAATTGTCAAGACAGTGTCCTACCTCTATGTCCTTGAATACTTTCTTACTGTATAAAGGAAAATGATTATTTTTCTTTCATTTGTACGTGTAAGCAAGTTTTGAAACAATCTTATTATTTATGTCAATAACTACGAATAGTATTCGTAAGATACAGAGGCTTACTTTTTCTCTCTGCCTGAATACTTTTCACCGCACAGTCAATGTGAGGTAGAAGAAGGGTAGTGTTTTTCTCTGTTGAAGACGATATTTTGTCATGTCAGCATTGTGGACGCTGATATGTTGCATTACAATTATTATTGCTCAAGATTCATGACATTCCCCGGCTGCGAGTTTGTCTGAACGTGCAAATCATTTGACGCAGGCTAGGGCCCTCGCCCTCAGGTAGCGCCATCAGGGCTTGAATGGCATCTTTCTGAAACTCAGTTAGAAGCTTTCCCGCGCCCATTTCTTGCCTAGGTGAGCATAAGATCCGTGCACAACTACTACGCTATGAACGCACTCTTTGCAGCGAGTCTACGCTGCGTCCTGTCCGAAAGAGCGCCAAACTTGCAAAGTGGGGCTAACCTTTTGCGTCGGTGCAAAAACACGAACCGCTTGATTTTTCCGCCAGTAACTAACTTCTTCACCAAATTTTACCTGCTATAGATTGCAGAGCGCAAGACAAATCGTTTGCCACCATTTGCACATTAAAACTGGCAAAACTCGATGTGTTATGATGTTTTAAAGGGGTGGGGCTAACCTTTTGCGTCGGGCTGTACAGTACCGACTAGAAGGAATGAATGAATTGAATTTCTGAAAATGAATGAAAAATTTTTTGAAATAAAAAAAAATGAAATGAATTTTTTTCCAATAGTACTGTTTAGCACGATCACCTATTTTGATCGTGCAAATGTTGCTCGATCAAATAGTGGAGCCATCACAAGTAGAGCCATCATTCTATGCGTGTATAATCCGCGCTGTCGGATTATTGACAAAATTCTATCACGAGTCAAGGTGTTGCTACTTGCTAGTAAATCAATAGTTTCCTATTGCTTCAGCAGACACTAAACTTGTGTGGAACTCCACTTACGACATCACCGAGCAGGCGTACAGTTACGTTACGTATCTTCCCGCGCATATGTTTTGATAATACCACCTCTAGTGTTACGTCATCAAGTCAGCACTTACGCCTCTCGTAAGTCGATTTTGTGTACTTACGAAGTTTTGATAATGCGGCCCCAGGTATAGTATTCTAAGTATTTTAGTATTTTACCCCAAATCTTCTTTTATATATAGACAATGGAACGAGGTTCAGTCAAATTTCAATGAACTCTGTTTGTTTTGAACGAAAAGGTTGTGCTTAAGAAGAACGAGGGCAGCGGGTGTGGCTCGATAAGCAACGTGTCGGTAGCCAAGCTCTCAATGATCGACTTGGCGGGCTCTGAGCGCGGCTCATCCACGGGCTGTAAAGGGGCGCGCTTCAGGGAGGGCGCTAACATCAACAGGAGTCTTCTGGCCCTGGGTCAGGAACTTAGCATTATGTTTGGGTCCTTGGTTTGATGGAATTACTATGTTAAAGATGCTAGTATGTATAGTGTTACGATGAAAATCTATTACAATTTTTTAGAAAAAAAAAAGCGTTAGTCAATGGACATCAGTGGGTGGCATTCATATCTGCCAAGGGAGGGATTTTTCGTGATTATATTAGTTACTTTCACGTTGTTATTATTGAAATTTGTTGCATATGCTTTTGGTATGAGGAGCATTCGAGCTCACACAAATCCCACTGCAACCTCGAAGTTGTTTGCTCATAGGTAATGAAGTTAGCAACATTAGTGAAGCTTATACTATGGAGAATTATTTGAATCTGTTTGAGTTTACATAAATCCCGCTGCAGCCTTGAAATAGTTGGCTTATTGCTACTGCTTTGGCACAAGTGGAGCCTACATTATTGCCAATTACTTCAAGTATGAATTGCAAGGCGTAATTTTCCCGTAGGTAACTGCATAAACGCGCTGGCCGACGGCAAGAGTCACATTCCATACCGAGACAGCAAACTCACGCGACTCCTGAAGGACTCGCTAGGAGGCAACTGCCGCAGTGTCATGGTGGCCGCCGTGTCCATGGCCTCTACCACATTCGAGGACACCTTCAACACCCTCAGATACTCCAACAGAGCCAAGACTATCAAAACAACCGTGAGTATTCAAATATTCACTATCGGTAACGTGCAAAATGAACAATGATATGCTTGTTTATTCAAGATTTTGAGTACACATCATCTTAAGTTTCTAAAATATCACCAGTTCATGTAAGTTAAATTTGTCAAGATTCAGTTTTTTCTTCATCCTTGTTGACAGTTGAAGAGGAACCAGATGAGCGTCGAAACCCACGTTCATCAATACGTCAAGATTGTAGAGACGCTCAAGCAAGAGGTGACGGCGCTCAAGGAGAAGCTTGCTGAGGGCGAACACCGAGAGTTGCGGCAAGCCAAGAAGTATGAGGAGACCATCGCTAGGCTCCAGGCGCAGCTTCAGGTTTGATCAAATCACGAGTTTTCGATTCTCCCTCATCACTTTTTGCGCTTCTCCTATCAAAAGTGCTTCAATCGGGTTGATATTTTATATTTGTGAAATATTAGCTCTCCGTTTAGTTACTGATCGAGTTTTGTTTCTTGTTAGCTAGTCCTAAACGCAATAAGTTTACTGTCAGATATTTTTTATATAGTAGGAAGTTATTCTCTCCAGCAATTCCCTTGATTTCATTGCAGAAAGTACAGAAGAAGAGCGCAAGCAACGACGCGGCTCCTGAGACGACACAAGAGACAGCATCTCCGGCTGGGGATGTTCCTGCAGCTGACACGTCTCCTCCCTCCTCTCCCTGCCCCGCCTCGTCCCCCGTCAACTGTGAGGAGAGAGAAGCGCTGAAGGAGCAGCTACACACCGTCTCGTCGCAGGCGAGTCATTTTTAGCGCATTTTCTCATTTATGGAAAAAAGGCGCTATTGTGCTCGTCATGTCCGTCCGTCTGTCCGTCCGTGACCACGTTTTCGTCGACGAGAAAATGCTCTCTCTGTCACTCGCTGCAATGTGTAGGTACTGAGTTACATTTTTTGTGTGGTGTGATCGATTTTCACGCGGTCGTTGAAAATTAATAGTGACTTAGTTATTAGCTTCTCACCTATTTCCAGGCTATTTATTGGTTCTTTAAAATGATTGATTGTTATGAGCGCCTCTCTTCTGTTCAATGAAACGAATCCTCAACGTCATTATTTTTCCTAGGGTGCTGTCACATGATAATTTGTTCATAATTTTAATCCCTGCTGAACGAATCTTCCATTAGTTAATGCACGTTGTATAGCGTGCAATAACTAATGGAACTAAACATTTGCATGGTTGGTTTACTATATAGTAAACCAACCGTGCAAATGTTTTATGTCACTGAACAATCAATGCGAGAAAATTTGATGAGAATTATTTTTAGTGCACATGTTCAACAATCAGCAATCAAATTGGTTTTATTTCAGGTGTGTGCGTTGCATCGGGAGTGGCTGCAGGTGAGCGGGTTTGAGCGAGAATTGCAGTTGCGTTTGTACCTCTCGCGTATCAAGACCTCACGCCTCGACATCCTGGCCTCCTCTGCCAACAAGCTCAACAAGGTGCTTAGTTACTTACCTCTAAAACTTATTTCTCTGAACAATTTATAGGAAATTCATAGGTTTATGTATTCATACGTTTGACGCACGTGCATAATTTTTAAGATATTTTCTGGTTAAGATGCTGTAATTGAGAATTCAGTCAGTTGATCTTAACACCATGCAATTCCCACTATATTTTCCAATTTCTTACTAGTTTGAGTACCGTAATTTTTGTTCTGCGTCGCTCATACTTTCAGCGCTACACTTCAATTGTTGTTGAATAAATAAGGAGTGTTCGGTTTCATTTCAGTTGTTTGAAATTGTTTTCATTCAAATATTTTGAGTAGGTTTTATGAATTTCAACTTTCATTTCTGACTACTGTTTGCAATCCTTACCTGCTGATGTCTTTTTTTTTGCAGAGTTTGACGCGTTTACAGCGGCAAGAGAAGACGCTCAGCGACCGACTTACCCAGACTGTGTTTTGCCGCACGACCGCCGCCAAGAAGTTTTCGTCTGCCCAGCAGCAGTGGCAGGAGCTGCGGCAGCGTTGTGAGCAGCACGCACAGCTGCATTGTTCCAGTCCTGAATTGCAGCACATTCTCGATAATGCACCGCTGCAGGTAATTTTTTACGTAGCTAATTTCCAAAATGGAATCTTATATTTCATGAATATTTTCCGCAAAAATTATTCAGCAGCGTAGGTCCTGCCTTTGCCAATTGCACAATACTTATTTTACGTAAGGTTGATGACAAGAACTTGGTGTTTGCTGTGACTGTTCTTAATTTAATATAATATTTGGCATTTGCATTTAGGCATAGGTAGTTTTTATGTATTAAATGAGAGAAGAGTTGTTTGATTGCGTTGATTACGGTCAGATTTTGTTCCTCGACATTCTTCCTATACCGTACTAAATTTTTTTTCTTCAATTTTCTTATGATGATCTTTGAATGTAAATAATGCAAATGCATCTGTGTAGGAAGCGCTACGAGTGCAGGAACAAGAGGGGTCATCCCTACGCGTATTACTGAAGGAGAGCCTCGGTGAAGTGAAAGAAGGTCACCGCCTGCAATGTCTCCTGCTTCATGCAGTTGTTAGTCATCTAATTCCTTAATATTATTCACTCTGCTCTTGGTATCCTTTTTTAACAAATTTTCTTTTTTCTGTCTCGCCGATCACTTGAAAATCGTTTCTGACAATTTTTATTTTGTTTCTCCCACTTGAAGTTGGTGAGTTTCTATTTCTTGCATTTAGCTTTGTTTTGAAGTCTCGCATTGACTCTGATTAGAATGAAGTTTCGTTATTTCTGACTTTCTTTTAGTCTTGATGTAGTGATTGCAACCGAAACTGTGCTTATATCGATATAGGGGGTTGCGACGATAAGTATTTATAATTATTTCAATACAACCGGTTATTTCGACACCTATTTTAATCTCATCAATCGCATGAATGAACTTTTCTCTCGATAGAGTTTGTATGTACGCTATTTACTGTCAGGTTATAAGCACGAGGGTCGGCACATTGAACAAGGTCTCACGCTGGCAGCTACGACTTGAAAAGGAGAATGACACACACCTTCATGTCAACTCTTATATACTTAAAGGCAGAAAATCCTACCCTAATACAGAAACTGGACGTTCGAGTTAGATATCATTCCTAACAGGCACAGCATGGCTTTTGAGACTAACCCAGCGAGAAACAAATAAAGGTGGCTAAACGAACATGCTATAGCTTTTATCAACTTAACATGGGTACATCACCGTTTAAGTGCCGCGAATCCGTCTGATCTCTGCCTGTGAGATGGGTAAATCTCGGCTCTTGACGAAGCGCTTGGGGCGAGGGTTACTGGAGACGTCTCCTCGATGACAGCCGGCGGTCTTATAATACGGCTATAGTAGGCTGGACGCTCAATCGGGGGCGTCCTCTCCTAGGGTTCAGGAACTTCGCAGGCAGATAATTCTTCTCCGGAACTCACACAATGGAATACTTGCAGACTTTGCTTCAGTCGTAATCCGGGCAATAATTTGGGTTTACATATAAATATTTCTCTCATATTCAATGTAATATTAAGATTCATTCCTTAACGATCTTGACGTTTCATTTCCAAACATCTAAAATATTTATTCTTTAAAAGTCTAAACTGATAATTAGTTGAATGTTTCATTTGCTGTTTATACCTTGCCATTATACAGGGTGTTTCAGAATTAAGTCACCCTTTTAATTTGTTAATAAATAAAAAACTAAGAACGTTATGAAGTTGAAACTTGTTTTATTTAAAAGATTCCTGTAATTGCGGATGGATCTCGCAATATTTTTTCAGTTAACAGTACCTGGGCTACACAGGCGTCCATGACCCCATCACACTCACAAGCGTTACCTTGCGCTACCGCATCCATTGTTAAATCCACGCTGCAACGTCAGAGTGTCACTCGCAATCTGGGAGTATCTATCCCGAGCTGTAAATTGATTCCAGATAAAACTGATTCGCAGTTTATTAACAATGTACCTGGGTCGCGCTCCGGCATTCGTTTCTCTGACACATTCTCCATCACCCCATCTAAATTTGTTTCAGAACATCAGTCTAACATTCTGCCTTCACTTTCTGATCTCAGGAATGCATCTATTTTAAATCCAACAGCTAATGGCTATCCTAAGTTATTTGCAAGTTCTTATTACGCTACTTTAAACGCAACAGTTGATTTATCGGATGGCGGAAAAAAAATTACGCCTGTTGAACAAAATCCCATCGTATCTTCGGCATTGGTTCCATGTTCAGTTGGCGTTCCTGGATTGGCGCTATCAAATGACTGCTCTAATATGCTTCCTTCATCTTCGAAAGGCAATGAAAACAGCCAAATCAATAGCACTTTCATTTCCAACTCCTGTGTTAAAGAGAAATCTGACGGACCATTAACTAATACCAATAATGAAATTCGTGGATCTACAGAAAGCACCAATTCGAAGTTGGATTTAAACAGCACCTACACAACGCGTTCTGAGCAGCCTGGTTCTGATGGTGGGTTTTTGGAATGAAATTTAAAGAAAACTTTATTGTAATAACTAGGATTCTCGTGTTTGATCGAATTTTGTATCGTAAACTCTAGCTAAACCGTTGTGGCTTCATTGCTTTTTCATTAACGTTTTTTTATTACAGTTAGGTTATTACGTTATTTTTTGCCATTTCTACTGTTGTTGCAAGATTTTGTATCATGACTAACCAGTTATATTCTAAATTATATAGTTAGTTCATTTTTTTCAATCCTGCTTGACTGCCGCTTTATTTCAAGACAAAAAATGTCTAGTCTGGACTAACACGTACGGTCTTACCCTATGCATAACTTAGTTGTTTACTTTTTGTTTTAATGTGTATTTAAAGAGCATGTTGTTAGTAGGGTGGGGCTCGTTGAATTGTCACCGAATGATACTGCATTTTACTACGCAGTCCATCCTTGATCAATGCTCACCGAAGTATTATTTCGATCATTAACGTTAGAGTCTCCCACTCTATGGGCAAACCATTCAATGTACATTTGTGCAGGCGAGGACGTCAGCGAGGAGGATGCGTGCCAGGAGAACAGATCATCAGCTCGCCAGCTGCTCTTCAACTCTCCCGACGCTCAGCCTGCTGGTTGCCAGCCCTCGCAGAATTCGACTTTCTGTGTAGAGCCTTCAGGTCATATCCTCGCAGCTTGGCCTAACTCTCTGTTATCAAATTGTTGGCATTGTATTATTGCTCCAGTTTCCATTAAAATTGTTTGTTTTCTTCGTGATTGTCAGAGTAACAGCATTTAATTTGGATGCTGAAATGTAATGTTAGCTTTGAACTGCTTTGAGATCAATTCGTTACTCTCCCACGATAACTTGATTATTCGTCACGAAATAGTTAGGTACCTTTTGTGCTATGAAAGTTTAAAGTGTGCTAGTTTGTGTTTATTTTCACTCGTTTTCCAGTTATGTATAAAAATGTCATCTTGGTTAGATTTTCATGCCCTAACTAATTTTCTACGAATAGAAGGAAGTGTTGAGAACCTGTTGCCGCTCAACCCGTTGGAGCTGCTGGAGAAGTCCCTAGCTTCATCTGTTTCGATATTGCCCAGCAACCCCAAACCACAGCTCAAGGTTTGTTAGTTTGCCCAATGACATTTTGTGTTTTTTGTGCTCGGATTTCACCTCAGGACACCTCAAACTCTGCATTATAAACTTACTTGCTTCCCTCATTGAGGTGGCGTAAACAGTTTCTGTGAAAGTAAAGGTAAATTATTGCCACCTGTCTTCCCCGTCAATTATATATTCTTTATTGTCACGGTATTCGCCCTCATTCTGAACAATTGCGTCAACGAAAAAATAGTGGAAGCCAAAATGTTGTTCGTTGTTTATTGCGAACATGTTCATCTGCGTGGAACTTGATTTAAGACAGTTAACTTACTTGCCTTATTAAGACAATTAACTTAGTTGCCGTATTAAGACAATTAACTTAATTGACTTACTTGCCATATTGAATTTCAGCTGAAGAGCATTTTGAAGCACAGCAACTCGAGCAGCACCGCTCGCAGGTACGAGCTTGGGGGAGGTCAGAACAGCAGAAGCGCGGTCGGCCGCTCGCAGTCGGTACGCAACTTGTCCGCCTCCTCGTCCCTGCTCAGAAGAAACTTCAGCTCAGTCGGCAAGCCAGAGCCAAACTCTGCGCAGAAAGGTGGGGGTATTTTTTCGATTGTTGTGAAAAATTGTATTATGATCTAACGAACTCTACGTTTTAGTTTAGTTACATAGGTTGTTTTGGACTGTGTATAGCTTGATAATTGTTTATTTTTTAAGTTATAGATATTTGTTGCCATTTTATAGTAAACAATTCGACAGCGTAATTCTGGGCTCTTTCGGATTTTAGAATACGTTTTCAGACAGTGCATTTGGATTTATTGTTTGCCTTATTATTACCACAAAATTTCTAACTGTTTCTAAAAATGAGTTTTGCCAAGTCAAGTGTATCATTTTAACTGCGCGTTTGGTTATCGATGACAGCGTTTTCCTGCAGACTAATCTTCTGAATTTGAGCTTTCAAAACTGAGAATCCGATAACTATCTTAGTCGATTTATCATATTGATTTATTCCCTACATAAGCTGCAACCATCAAGTTGAGCTCGATTGTTGGTGCCAGATTTATTTCTATTCACTTGATGTTGTTCAACCGCTCTAATTTTATTCACCTTTCAGTCCCTAGCAAAATCTGCTGAGTTCTTGTAAATATTGATTGAACCGCTTTGTGATATTGTAAAATATTTTCGTATTTTTCGCCGTTTTTTGTGATGTTGTATATGCTGATGCAACAAGATGGTGTCTCTAATGAATATCAGGAAGGTATCCTATCTGATTGTCATTGACAGGATTTGCAATGCGCCGCGTAATGAGCTTCAAAAACAGGCGTTACCATCAGCAGCACATGGAGAACCAGGAGAACTTAGCTCCACGTATCTCTACGAACAAGCTTCTCTCTTCCGCGTCGTGCTCAAATCTCACGTCTTTTGCCCCCGCTACCACCACCGGCAGTGCTTCTAAATCCCTCAACTGCTGGAGACCTTGAAGTTGCGCGTCATCTTGCCTGAAGCGTTCCCTCTTGTATCTATTGTATCTGTACAGTGACGTCTACGTTTAATTTGCTTCATTTACTGCCGATTTTGTTCATAATATTGGAAAACTTCGAGGAAAAAGTTTCGCTCACGAAGATTTCAGTCATTTTTCTTTTATTTTGTACATTGATGGTTTAGTTAGACGTAAGGCTTAGCTGCCTCCAAGATATCTTTGAAAAATCCATTGCTTCACTGTTTTATTAGCAGTTTTACTATTTGAGTATTGGTTTCTCGTACCAAGCTTGCCATATTTGCTGCAAATTACCCGCAAATTAAGTGGTTATGGTTGAATAGGTGTCTCTTATCGTCCATTGAGTAATGAAATCGAGTACCTATAGATAAAATGAAAAAAACCGTTTATTTACTACAGTCCGGTTAGTTAATTAACCATGCTATTAATTATTTTGCGTGTTGTTTATATGGTGATTTTTACGGTAGTGCAGCATCTCTTTGCGATTGATAGTATTTTGGACTATTTTCTTACACGATTCTTCTGTTTAAAATGACTGAATCTAGATCATGCAGTAAACTTTACGCACCGTCTCTAGGTCAACTATCGTTTAGAGTTCTTTGTACGCATGAAGTTTATCTTCCTTCTCCTTGTGCTTAATTCTTATTTCATTGTTCGATTCTTCTATATTTTTATGCTTTGCATATACTTACAACTCCGTGTCACTAATGCTTGTAGAAATTTTTAGCATTAGAGGCTAAGATTAACAATGGACTTGACAAGTCTACAGCCAAGTTATAACTTTAATTTCACTTAGGAGTACGAACTTGACCTGCGAGAATGACAATCGTGTTTATTGCTGTGCTTTCCTTTAATCAATTTAATGTGTTGTAAGATCAGCATTAGTAATTTCAAGTGTTATTTAATCAAAGTCTGTCAGTCTCTACGAAGACCCCCGAGCTTGCGCCCTGAGAGAGGCGACTTCAATTTCCTCTCAACGATAATGGATAGTAGATCAACACAACTGGATGAACTGTAGATTAGTTTCGAGTAAAATTAGATTGGAAGCTTCATTTTTTTATTTTGATGAAGCGGTAAAGATACGAATAAGCAAGTACATTGTGCAAAGCTGTAAAAACTACGTAAACTTGATGCCGAATCTACATTTCTACGCAATGAGGACTGTGAACATCTAGACTTATCGTCCCAAGTGGGTAAGATGGTCAGACATTGTTACGTTTTCCTCTTTGACTCAGTGGGCGAATTTCTGTCGAATCCACCAGATAGTAGAAAATAATTTTTCTAATTGATGTTCCTCTATCTTGATCCCACGTACTCTGATCTCTTCCTGTTTATGGCCATCTTTTTTGACGAGGACGAATGCTTGGTTGCTTCCTAATGCAGTACGTGTCTATCATTATAAGTTGAAGCTATATAATGCAATATTAGGCTCGTATTTTACACATTTCGAATAAATACCTTCCTGGCTCGAGTACTATTCAGTTCCTTATATTAATCTTCATCATTTAATATAGTATTTGAGAACCCTAAAACATACGCCCGTTTGCTCGGTGATGGCGACTGCTGGAGTTTTACTTCGACTCGGGTAATAGGATATATTGAATGTCGCTGTCAATGGTTAATTAATGATTAAAATATTTAGCTTTTTATTTATCGATTATAACTCGTGTCAAGTGAGAATTCGGTTCAAAAAGTATGATTTTCTTTGTCTGCAATCCGTTCTTAATTATAATGTGTATAAAGAAAATTCTGTCTATAGTGAATTAAATATGATTATGCGAGAAAAAGCTTCAGGAGGCACGTTTAATTTATTACTGACACATCAGACAATCTTTGTTCGAGTACAGTATCAGTAGCCAGACAGAAATGTGTAGACTCGATCTCTGGGCCTTGATGGCCCAATACAATTTTAGAAAGCGTAGTAATACAACACGCCTTGTGCGACCATCTTGCGCGTATGCTCATTAGCATAATATGTTGCTAGTGTGCAGTCTAGACTGTCCGCCTCTCTTTCGGACCCCTCATTCAGCTCTAATTTCTTCCCGCCCCGACTGATACCTCAGACATAAAGCGTTTAGTGTAGTACATAGATGACGCCTTATATTGATAGTATCCACTTTTTTGGCTGGTCTCCTGGGTATCGGCAAGGATTATCGTGCATGTTGTACGTAGTGCCTCCAATGCACATGTTGCAGATCATGCCAATGCAGTGATGACCTGAGAACCTCTACAATACCCGGAATCGATTGTGCGTTGTAAATAAATTCGCACACCAGACATGGGGACTACACAGCTCAATGACCTAGTACATCCATGTACTTGAATGATTGATTATTGCTGTGTACACTGTTGTGAATTCTGAATGATTATTGCGCACAGTGCTGTGTATTGCACACAGTGTTGTGAAACACTGAATGATTATTGCTGTTGAAGAGGCAAGTTTAGAATTGATTTTTCAAATCAATTTAATGGCGGTTGGCATTTTATGCACCTCTACCCAAGATGCAGGTTTGTATCCTGGTTTGCCTCTTTCCGTGGGGCTGAAAATGAAACATAATGCAGAAACGCCGTACCAATCATGAAAGCAAAGCAACAACTTCAAATGACAGTTTGGTAGATAAATTTTATTCGCGTTGAAAGTTGCGCATTAGCCTGATTAAGTGAGCTCTATTAATGTACAACGATCGTGTGTGCAAAAATTGGAAGAGTCTTGAATATCTTCTCAATATTTCCGTATTGCAAAGTTAACGTGGAGTAGCATATCCATTTTTTTTTTTTTGCGGTATTGTACTTTTCGTGACGCAACTAATTCTTTCTCACCACACATCTGACGTTAGATTAAAATTATTGAGGCTGAATAAGCGTTGATTCAGCGTTGTTTCAACGTCGTTTGTCTGTTGTGAAGGAATTTATTTTGCGTTGTTTCAACGTAAGGCGAACACCCAAAAACTCACCAGACGTCTGACGTTGGACTAAAATTTTTGAGGCTGAATAAACGTTGATTCAGCGTTGTTTCAACGTCGTTTGTTGTGAAGGAGGCTGCGGACAACCTGATACAGAGGCGGGCCGGGAAGCCCGTAAGGCGAACACCCGCAAGGGGTGAGGTTGCAGAGGCGTTTACTTACCAATTAAAGCACTAACAACGCTTCTGTTGTAATGCCTTACACTAATAACTTACTTCGCGTGGGTTTTTGTGACTACAGTTTTTCTTTTTCGAAATACTTGATGCTCGCAGAAATTATTCATTGATAGTAAATTGCGATAATCTGCAAATATTACCAATTTTTTTCTAATTATTATTTTTTTTAATTTCCAATTCAGTTAAATTTTCGTCGTTAATATCACCACATTTTAGGAATAAAAATAGCCAGTTGATCCATACAATTCAAGATTTTTTCGAAGTTTCCCCCTATATTATTAGAAAAAAAATCTGAGTTTCCCGGGATAGTGTGCTAATTTGAGACCTGACAAGCTTGATAATTACTGATAATTTAAGATTCATGTACAATACAGCATATGCGTATTTTTTTATTCGTTACAATAATAATTTTTTTAATCACAACTTTGTAACGCTTGAGAATGGAGTCTCATAACACAGGAAGTGGTCTCGTCAAAGTAAGGTTAGAAAAAAAGTGTCTTGCCTGCATGTACGTTCTGACGTTCAGGAGCATTAGTGTCAATTAGCCGAGCATGAGGAGGGAGAATACGAATGCTGGAGCTGTACGGGCAAAAGCTAGAAAATGAAAATTGAGATTAGAAGCAAAGGAGAACTTTGATAAACAAGATTGCGATATTTATTACAAAATGCTACGTGGTAGAGATCAAGATCAATGCATTAAAAAAATCATAGGATTTAGTTGTGCACTCTGCACGAATGATGAGTAGAACGAAGTGATGAAGTTCAATAATATCCTACTTGCTTATTATTTGCATTGAAATTTCATGATAGTCTGCCTTGCCCAAGGCCCGTAATGCTAAACCGCGAGTTCGATTTGCACGGCTAATTAGATTATTCATTTAGACAGACTCGGACATTTTTTGTAGCATTGGATTAGTGTCTTTACTTTATTCGGTGTCATGTCTCCAGTTCGGTATTTTGACTCTAGTCATCATTTCTAGTGCAATTTTTTTCGCTTTACAAACGTTAGACAAGACCGGATTCTAAACACAAGGAAACTATGTATGTACATGTATGTATAACAGGGACACACGCCACAGACGCTACAAAATGTTCCGTTCCTGTGACATCAATTCATAGTTTTTGTCGTTTAATTGTTTCCTTCTAGGCCTGTGTGGAGGCATTTCACTTTTATTTTCATTGTCTAAACTGGCAAAACAAATTGATTGTTATAGATACTTGGTACAATGGATTCATTTTTCATCATTTTGCCGTCCACCCACCGTATCTTGAATTGGCTTGCTTTTATGTAACATTGGATTAGTGTCATTACTTTATTCGGCGTCATGTCTCAAGTTCAGTATTTTTTATTTTTTCATTTCAAGAGAAATTGCACAAATTATCTTTTATTTTAAGGGTAAAGTACTCGACTGTTGTAATTGCAACAAATCTCGACCGATCTCATTCAATTCTCCGCTCAATTGAATTGAATTTTTCGCTCAAATTTGAAGAAATTTTCTTCAAAATTTTTCACTAACTTTCATCCTCTGCCGACAGCAGAAGAAGGTCATTTTTGTTGACACGATTCGCTGCGCGGAGCAAAACGTTTGTTGATGTGGAATGAGTGTGGTTCAGCACTTCGTTGAGACCGCAAATTGTCTCGAGCTGCAGTAACGCGATAGGCCGGCCATTGGACTTCAACATTCTCGGGGTCTGGGGGCTGTTGATTTGTGATGAGAAAAAGGCGGCAAATAAAAGTCATTATTGAGCAAAGTCCTTCGTGAAGACCTCACGCCGACGAAATATTCGAGTTGCGTTGCTTTAGAAGACTATTATAGAACCGCTATGTTCACTCACTTTCAGCGAGGTAAATTGAGTTAAATTTTTGATAGGTAAGAGTACGGCGAAGGCTTGAGGTTGAATATAGTGAGCTGTCCAATATGTTTGTGATTCATAATTTAAATTCACTTATTTGTCGAAGAATCTGTCCTAAAGAAATTTACATTATGAGACAAAAATATGGGTTGAAAATAATTAAATTATATTCTGGTAGATTTTTTCACCTTCGTTTAAGAACACGTATGTTTTTGTTAATTCTCAATTCCTTAAACACATTAACCATCATTTTTCGGAGAAGAAAGGAATATCCATGCTTCATTTTTAGCATAAGTATCATCAACAATTCTTGTTTGGAAACGAGCCGCTGAGCATTAGCGTTCAGTACGGTGGACTCACGAGACAGGCGTACAATGGTTAGGGCCTTTAGGCTATCAGTGTCGCAGGAGGAGACCTTTTCCCTGACACTTGTCGCTGACTGATGGAACTTTAGACACTTGCGATAGCACTGGACACCCTCGGGTGCTTTTCGCTTTAAGTCAAGATTGAAACAAGCCTCTTAAGCAGATGTCTTCAGAAGAAGGCCGTTTGACCCAATATTTCAAATTCTATTAGAGAATCTTGAATTAACGGAATTCGAATACGAATTCTGCTAACAATTTTTTTTCCAGCGACCAAACAATTTTTTTTTGTGTGCGTTGTTTTCTGGTGAAAACGTTCTGATTCCGAGAAATAAAATTTTTACTCCAATCTATTTCCATTAGGAAGCGTCATTTGATTTTTTTACTGTCATGATTTTGATAAAATCGAAGTTTAAAAAGTGCAAAATCTCTTATTTCTAAAGTCGCAAATTTTTAATAACTTTTTTTCTCCTCTTAAACCATTGTCCTTTTACTTTAAATGCTTTGGCCAATCGCTGCCGTATAGATTAAATTAGAGATCTTCACACAACTTATAAGCATCGTATTTTTATTTTAGTGTATCTACTCAGGAGCTAGTTAGTTCGTTCCCTAGTCTCCTGGAGCGCAGTGGCTTCAAGGCATCTGCTGTGGTGACTGACAGGTCCTCGGCGAGGTCCCAAGAAAACAAGGACATCGGAGTGCTGCCGAAAACAAGATAAGTAGACGCCTGTGTGGGATTAGAGCTTCGCCTGGTAATGGAGGCAATTACGCGGCACAAAAGCTTAGTTCTCACAGATTCAAATTATTGACCCCCCGGACGTACCAGGTGGCTACGTAACTAATAGGAAGATTTGGAGTGAACGGTTTACCATAACCTTGATCGGGCCTCGGATTGGGGAGAGACCAGTGACGCTGATAGTCTCAATGAAAGTCAATATTCCATCACTATTTTTTAACATTTGGACCCAAATCCCACGTTACATAGGTCGCCGAATGGTCTCTAGCAACCTTTGGGTGTCGACGCAACAGTACAAGAAGTCGACGAATGTTTTTACAATGTACGTACACCTATGATAAGCGATTGTATTCACCTCTCTATTATTTATCTTCAACTCT